CAGGGGACAGCGCTGGCACCAACCCCTAACGGGACAGGGCACCCACAGGGGGGCTGGGGGCACACAGGGACCCCAAAAAGCTGGGACATTCTGAGAGGTCAGGGACAGAGGGGGAACCCGAATTTCAGGGATAATTTAAGGGTTTAGGGACACCCCCAATTCTTGGGACACCCAGGAAGCTCCAGCCTTCGGAGGGTTTGGGAACACCCAGGGACACTCAAACCTGGGGACAGTCAGGGACCCCCAATCTTAGGGACATTCTGAGGGGTCAAGGACACAGAGGGAACCCGAATTTCAGGGATAATTCAAGGGTTTAGGAACACTCAGAGAGCCCCAGTCCTCTGAGGGCTTGGGGACACCCAGGGACACACAAACCCCAGGACAGTCAGGGACCCCCAATCTTAGGGGTCAAGGACATAGAGGGAATCCCAATTTCAGGGATAATTTAAAGGTTTAGGGACACCCAGGGAGCCCCAGTCCTCTGAGGGCTTGGGGACATCCAGGGACCCACAAACCCCAGGACAGTCAGGGACCCCAAAAAGCTGGGACATTCTGAGGGGTCAGGGACACCCAAGGAACCTGAATTTCAGGGACAATTCAAGGGTTTAGGGACACCCAGGGAGCTTCAGCCCGCTGAAGGGACCCACAAACCCCTGGACAGTCAGGGACCCCAAAAAGCTGGGACATTCTGAGGGGTCAGGGACACAGAGAGAACCCGAATTTCAGGGATAATTCAAGGGTTTAGGAACACTCAGAGAGCCCCAGTCCTCTGAGGGCTTGGGGACACCCAGGGACCCACAAACCCCAGGACAGTCAGGGACCCCCAGTCTTAGGGACATTCTGAGGGGTCAGGAACACACATGGACCCCAAATCCCTTGGACACTCAGGGAGCCCCAATCCTAGGGACATTCTGAGGGCTTGGGGATACTCAAGAGACCCCCAATCTCAGGGACACGCTGAGGGCTCAGGGACACGCAGGGACCCCCAATCTCTGTGGCAATTTAAGAGTTTGGGGACACCCAGGATCCCCAATCTTGGGGACACCCTGAGCCTTCAGGAGCATTCGGGGACTCCCAAACTCAGGCACAGTTTGAGGGTTCAGGGACACCCAGAAACCCCAATTCCAGGGACACCCAAGGAGCCCCAATCTCAGGGACACTCTGAGGCCTTGGGGACACACAGGGATCCCAAATCCCTGGGAAAATGTAAGGGTCAGGAACACTCAAAGACCCCTAATCCCTGAGGCAGTTTAAAGGCACAGGAACCCCAAATCCCTGGGACACTGTGGGAGCTCGGGGACACCCAGGGATCCCAAATCTCAGGGACACTGTGAGGGTTTGGATACACCCAGGGATCCCAAATCTCAGGGACATTCTGAGGGCTTGAGGACACCCAGGGATCCCAAATCTCAGGGACACTCTGAGGGTTCAGGGACACC